ATTTAGGTACAATATTTTTTTATTTGGTAACGTAGGTACCTGTTCAATACTATTATGAAAAACTTTTGATCCTTCCCCCCACTGTTATAAGGGCAGCATTTTTAAATCAGTTGCAGTAAAATCAATGTTGATATACTATATTACAAATCAAATTAAATACTTTTAAGCCAATTTTCTTGATTTCTAAAAAAAAATGTTACTGTTTTGTTTTGGCCGAATTATTTTTAAAGAACAAAAAATTGATGACAAAACAAATTTGATGTTTTGCGGATTAATATGCTGTATTATCCAGAAAAAGTATCTATACATTATTAAATTTTTTTTTTTAATTGGTTATAATGGTTGTAAAACTTATCTTATAGAATAGGCCGATTCCCTATGATGGCTCAAAAGCCAAAATACATTTCTGTTTTTATTTTAAAAAAAAAATTAAAATAAAAAATAAATTAAACAAAAAACGTATACTTACTTGCATACACTTTAATTAACGAAAAAAAAAAAATAATACATTATTACTAAGTATAAAAATACTGTAAAACCGCGTCCATACAATGTCGAACATATGTGTTCGTGTCGCCCGGCTTGTCGAAACATGTCGGGTCGAGTCGAACGCAACCCGAATCAAGCCGGTACGGATCAAAGAAAGTCCAACCAGTACAACAGAGAGAACAGAGACAACAGTAGTGTAGACGTGTCAAAGCATGTTGCTCGACTTTTAAGCTACAGTTGGTGTTGTCGCATAACTTTATCTACCACAAAAACCGATGAAAACATTTTCATTCTGTTTAGTTTTGTTTCGCCGGGTATATTTGTTTGGTTTTTAGTTTTTCAAATTTAAGTTTATCATTAATTCATGATGAATTGGAGTGACGAACAAACAATTAATTTTATTGAAATGTACCGTGATCGAAGTTTATTGTGGAAACCAAGACCCAACTCATTTTATAGCTGATTAATAATAATCAATAATATTGAATATATCAATGATAATAAAATTAATAATTAGAACACAATTAGAAAATCAAAAAGCGTTTTGGTTTTCAAACACACTCGATATGTGTCTGTATAGTTGTGTCGGTCGACTAGTCCACACATATTTGACAAGTTGAAAGTCGACCGTTTCGATCGATTCTGTCGATGGACACCATTCGGCATAGTGTGGACACGGCTTAATATTTCAATCAGGTTAGTTAATCAGGTTATTCTAAATAAGACAATTAAATATTTTTATATGAGTAAATTTAGATCTGCAATTGTAATAACAGTATAAGATAGATAGTATTCCAAATACTTATAAAGTCAGAACACAACACAAATTATGTCTATAATTGAACTAAACAATTGTCAATCAAAACAGAAGTCATAAGTCATAAAGTCCAAAAAAATAATCTTACGAACAACGATTTAACCAAAAGAAATTAGTTTAGTCATGGACTGTAGAAATTCTGAAAAAAATGAAGAGATAAACCGTATGGGCGTTATTTATTCGGAAAAATACTTGAAATAATTGTGTTCAAGGAACAAAAATATGTTATATACACAAGACCCATAAATGGGTCATATATTTAAATGTATAATTTTATATTAAAATTATAAAAGTATAAAATTGTAATAATACACTTGTAAGCTATGATTCTGAGTTATTGAAGTTGTACCATGAATTTTTTTTTTATTGCAATAGAATATTGACTCGAAAAAACCACGGTGTAAATTGGCAGGAAGCTTGTTTATGTGAGACGGCGGACCCAAATATTAAGATAATTAATGATAATCCAATAGTTTATACTTCAAAGTCCTGTGTATATATCTGAGCTCGTTCAAATGGTGCATTAAAAATATATTAGGAGGCCGTGTAAATTTCGCCCAAACGATAAGTGATTTTATGTCATTTGCCCAAATAAAAAAAATTGGCGATAAGCGCAGTCTATTGGTCTTTTTATCTTATCTTAAATTCTTAATTTTATATTATAGATACTGATAGGAGCGACCTTTTGGTTTTAAAATTATGGCTTTTTATATTTTAGGATTAGTGAGGAATGTATTCTTTTTATAGTGTATTGATGAAGGCCTTTTATATTTTTATTTATGGTTACGTTTCTATCAGAAATCTTACTCCAATCAAAAAACGACAAGGGACATTTATTGTTGAATTGAATCTAGTTGGTGTATCGAGGAAGTAATTTTTTGATATTTCAAGTGTTTTTCATAGCGATTGGAAATACCTTAGGAATAAAGAGAAAGTTTATAGTTAGTTTTACTAATTCAAAATTTGTATTTTTATTTTAACTTGATTATTCAAAATTATAAAGAGCCGAGATTATGACAGGACACTTATATTAGACTTTTATAGGATTGGTAAAATGTTCATAACATTCAGACGATATTTTAAAAAGGTTTACCTAATAACATCTATACCTTAACGTATTTTTACCTTTATATACATAGCATACAGGATATTCATCTTATATGTATTTATAAACTAGCCGTCCGGCGCCCGGCGTTGCTCCTGCCAATTCGTATTATTATTATTATTTTGCCCATATTCATTTTTGGTTTTGGCCGTGTTAGAATTGAATAAAAACAAATAGATGGAAAGTGAGTGGTCCACCTTTGGCGGACTAAATGTGTTCCATTGTAAAATTTGAATAGTGTAAATAATAGTAATCATAATATTTGCAATAGTTTTCTTTTCCGTGGCAACCCTTGAATAAACAAAAATCGTATGTACGTAAAACAAAATCGGGTTAGTTACAACATTTATAACTCAAGAACGGCTGGACCGATTTTGATGATCACATGATATTTTCCGACTAATTTCTAATAATGATTAATCACCATTTTTTTTTTTCATTCCTGTTACCGGGGTAACACAAATCAACAAAAAAAAATGTATTCATTATATTATAAGCTAAATTATTTGGTGTTGCTCGTGTATATATTTATATATAAAGGAAAAAATTAAAATTGCGGTTAAAAAATAGTGGCTGGATGTAGAAGGGTGAAAAATACTTTACGACCTATTCTCATACATACCAAATGCACACAACAAATTTCATGAAAATCGGTCCCGCCGTTTCGGAGGAGTTCAATAACAAACACTGTGATCGGTGAATATTATGTATAAGATATACACTAATTTCCATTAATTTAAGTTTATTAAACGTTTATGTTAAATGAATATTACTTTGCTTATTTAAAAAACCTTAGAAAATTTAAACTGTATTTTACAATTGTAGTAATACATATGGAGACAATATGGTATGAATATCCTAAAATTTCGGAAATATATTGTCCGGAAATATTCGCGATTAAAAAATCATAGCCAAAATATTCCAAGATGAGGGCGTATCACCCATCGCCTTCCATCAAATACGCCACTGCGGCCTACGTATACATTATTATTCCTAGGAGAATGCGGTCCGGAACTGTACAGTTAGTTACTTTCTAAATGTCTACAGTCCGTGAGATTATTTTTTTGGAACTATACATGCGTGCGATCAAAATTAAAATTATTAAATGCTTAAAAATGTCAATATTTACCACAGTTATGAAATTACTCAAAACGTGAACGGATTCGAAATTTGTAATTTCATGAACTGGGTACATTATTTTTATACTTCGTTCATAAAATATAGATAGTTATCAATAAAAATGACTTACACAGTTTCACTATGTCTAAGTCTTTAAAGTCCACTGAAAAAAAAAAAAAAAAAAAATTAATAATGAGCAATGGTTAATGGGTTTTATAATAATGAAACGAAAAACCCAATTTTGAAATTGTATGGTATATTTGATGAACTATCGTTTGTTGAAAACATAGGTATGCAATTCAAAATATGATATAATATGTTTCTTTAGTTGAAACAATTTATTTAATTATTTTAACCTTTATAAAATGTTGTCACGTTATAATTGCAGTGAAACTAACGATTCTATGTGAAATTTAAATTGATTGAAACAGTTTAGTCATATTATTTGTATTTGTATTTTTTCGGACTTTAGGAAATTTCACTTTTAAATGGGTGCCTCAAGGGAAGAATTCTAGGTATGCATATTATCTAGAAAATGGATCATCATATTTTATATCTGTAAACGGTAAAAATTTTAAAATAAGTAGTTTTATGTATATTTGATATTATAAACATATTATTTTATTATTAAAAAATCAAAAGAGCCGCTTTGGAGGCATTGTATCATTCCTAAGTAAAAGAGCGAATAAAAATGTAAGAATTGGAGTGTTTGATTCTTAAGTTTTTAAAAAAAAAAAAAAAAAGAAATCAGGAAAAGTTAATATTTTCCTCACCGATTCTAAGTGGATTATTTAAATATTTATACGAAATTATTCTACACTTCTGTAATATTTTTTTCTGGTTTTATAGACTGAAAAAATGAAGAAAATAATCCGTTGAACTTTTCAACTTATGAAAACAATGTCCATAGGAAAAACTGTGGATCAATGCTTGATGCAGTCACAGGAAGTTGGTGAAAGAATACTACAACAATAAAATTATCTTTATGAGCGAATTATCATTAAATAGAGTTCAGTGTTTAAGCCATATTATATGTCAAAAAAAAAAATTAATAAATTAGAGCAACCCTTGAATAAATGCCCGAAGAGAAAAATCCACGGATCAGGTCCAGAAAAATGGGTTGGTAATTTAAAAGAAGATTTGATAGCATTTGGTATAGTAAATTTAAATGACGTAGTACAAGGTAGATCACAAAATTTACTTTTTAGTGATCACCGAAAGCGTAGAGCTATCAACTCCAGAAAAATAAGACTAAATAATACTTAAATATAGTACTTGTTGGGCATAAAATACTATGTTTAAAAAAAAAATATTTCTCTCTTCACGTAGACAAGAAAAGTTCAATAATTTTATATTTCAATTATACAACTACAAAATTAAAATATAGTAAATAAACTGATTTACTTTAACAAATGTAAAACCATGATTTGGTCCGGAAAGTAATATATTTGAGTTATTTTTATGAACACGTTACTTACTTAACAATTGTTTATAGTCTATAATCAAAATGCGTTACATTTTAATTAATACAAATTATATGAAACGAAATTAATACTTATAAGTAAGTAATAATTTGTAATAATTTAATAACTAATGTTTAGTGATATTTATATTATAATTCTATAATTATAATAGAATTTGTATGCACTAGTATCCGTTATTTTCTTAAATCAAAGTCGACCCTCCATTATAATAATATTATCTGAATGTCTAGGTCATTTTAAATTTAATGAAATCTCTTTGTATATATTTTAAACATAGCCAGTTATTATAAAATCCCATAGTTTTAAAATTTGAATACAATAAGTTAAAGACATATACAAAATTGTAGTTTTTAAATGTAATTCCTGTAATGACGCTATTTTTTATTTTGAAAATAAATCAATGATCTGGATGAAGAAAATATACAATCATAATTTGTAAATATCATTTCCATAAAAATTCCATAAAAAATTTCGTTTAACTATGCCCAAGAAGGTTTCAGTCAGAAGGTCAGAGGTCAAGTCAGAATTCTTCTCAAAGTTAAAGCAACATAAAAATATTACTTAAACTTACAGCATTTAACCTAACTAACCTAATAATCAAATGACCAAAAATAGTTAAATCAATAATATTTAAATTTAGTAGAATACCTACGTGTATGATGTACGTTTTATCTATCTATTATGTATTTTATTGTATTTTTTTAAAAATAATTTACATGCAGTCATATTATATTATGTCTCATGTTTTACTCTGTGTAAGAGTAAAATATTTATTTTTTTAAAAATGAAAAGGCCTTTTTATTTCTTAATTTTGCGAGTTTTTATGTAATTTGTATTCGGTAAGTACTGTGTGAATAAAATTATTAGACCAAACGGAAATAATTGAAAATTAAACAGGAGGTTTACAAGTTGTACTTATCGGTCAACAAGAAAAAGTTTAAATTTAATGTAATATTTCTTTTTATAAGAATTTGAATACTTATAAAATTTCAACAGGCCGTAAATATTATGGCCTTTTAAAACATGCATAACTAAACTCCACTTAATAATATAGAATAATTCTTGATTAGCAATGATTAATCTTTGCGTACAGATACACATATTTGATTTCCCTCAGTATCTTCCTTACTTTTCGCCTACAACAGTGCCACAGTGGCCCACCTATTCTGCAGAGTATGTTAGTCTATTTATATATAATTTTTTATCGGTAGAAGCGTATTTGTTCAATATTTCTTCGGGGTCAATTTTATTTGTTAAGTCTCTCTCAATGTTAATAATATTTACATTGTAAACCGTTGCTGTATAATATTATTTATCAGCCATTTGTTTAAAATTTTGCATTGAACTACTTTATCAATAAAGTAAGTAGGTACTATAAAACTGTTCAACCATAATTTTTCTTTAACTTTATACAGATCTATATCTGTTACTATGTTTAGTTAGTATTGATTATATTATACACTATTTAGTAAATAATAACTGTTTTTTAATTAAATTCAATATACAGTGTTCGAAACAACTTACGGTTTTTTATCTCTTCGAAGTCTTCAGAGTCTATCTTAAAATTTCTGTCTAAATAAATAATTATACTCGATTAATTATAATTTTTATTGGTTTTACAATAATGTTTATTTTACTTTATTTTTTATCGGTGAACAACTTTTCTACCTTTTCTACTTTTCTAACTATTTCAAACGTACTTCACATTTTATGAGAACTATGTGATGAGAACGTCAAATATGTTCCATTTTTTAGTTTAGGTAGGGAGATATAGTAGTGGAACACTATTCAAACACAACACGCCGTACCGTACCACCACACAAGTGCATAGTGTTCCACTCGTATAATAATTATGGAGGGCTATACAAATCCGGAATGCAATAATCCGGACTGTAATTTCCCGGACCGCAATAATTCCGGAACGTAATATTTCGGAAAAATATCAATGTTTTCATAAGTATGAACTATGAAAGGTATCAAAGCTATCACTTCTTTTCGCGAGATAAGAAACGACGTTCTTGAACTGAACAATTTAGGAAATAGGTTTTTAACTTAATTCTGGAATTCTTACATTTTCGGAATATTACGTTCTGTAAATTTACATTCCGGAATAATACATTCCAGATCATTCCAAATCAATATCTTCAAATATACAAGTAATATCTGACAATTTACTCACGTATGTTTCTAGTTCTATTTTCATAAACCTCTTGAGATTCGTATACATAAGCCAGTTCTAATAACAATTAATTATAAATATTTAAACAAATTTTCAAAATATTAATGAAATAAAAGATAAAATATAAACCTTTAATTATTAATTTTTTTACATTCTATGACGTACTTATATTAGACATGCAGAAAAATTATGTGCACAACTATCGTTTGATTATTTTAATAATAAATATAACAATCAACGGTTTTTATAATATTAATTATGTTTAGTGTTAATACAATACTTGAATAAATGAAAATTATCATAGTTAGTAAGCACTTTTAACATTTTAATAAAAAAAATGTCTTATACACACCGAAACAGGTATTAAGGCCGCTAGAACAACAGTACGACATGCCGAACACCGATATCATCGTGACGGCAAACATTAGAACTTTATTACGTTCAGGAACCGTCATTTTTTTCGGCTAATTTTTTTTTTAGTAACAAGTTACGCGTTTTATATTATTATATGTTATAAAATTGTAGACTACCGACGGTGGCCTGAGCAAAACTATTAGTGGTATTTTCGATCGCTCAAAGCCCAGTATTTATGTGTATTCGCTCATAAAAGAACGGCGTGAGTGGTGCAACAAGTTGCAACTGCGCACACATTACCAGTTAGGTAAATAAAATATTGTCAATAAATCACATTTCGGGTTGAAAGAAGTAACGATGCCGGAGAAGTATAACAGGAGACGAAGGAGAGAATAAGATAGTCTATAATCGTATTTTGCCCTCCACCCGGTGACCTTTCTGTGGTACCTTGGTGACGATATTTACGTGAAAAACGTAGAAAAAAAACTGAAAAGTAATAATATTATAAAGGAAAAAAAAGTGTATATTCAGAATATATTCACTTGACGTGAATATATACGCTGAATATCCAATTATGGCAACATTCGCATTGAATAGAAATATAAAAAAAATTAAAAAAACTGCTGAGGTGAGAAATTAACGTTAGTCATTTAATATAATGAAACGAAATTGTACAGTCTGAAAAAATAACTAAACTAATTCTTTTTTCGATGTCACAAATAAAAAGTTACTTGTAAATATATGAAAATTTAACCATTTCATGTTTTCCAAACTTCTAAAAATGTATCCCTTTTAGAAAATAAATTGCAATTGTTTGTGTTTTTAACAATTTTTATCATAAATTTGAACACAGTCAAACTTAATATTAAAAAAAACAATGCCATTACACAACTGTGAGCATTTTTACATTTCATTTTTCTAAATGAAAAAATATTGGTCTTTGAAGCACTATATATTTTGTTCGTGCACAATCGTTATAATTATTTAAAATATCTCATTCTAACGGTAAAATCAATATTCGTTTTAACATAATATTTATCGTGATAATATTCCTAAAATTATTATTTTTCATCCTATGACAAGTAAACAACTTTAGGACAGATTTTAGATTAATATATTCCTAAAAAATCATAGTCAAATGGTATTTTTTATAAACTTAAAAGTTGTAAATAAAATTATTTCAATCCTTAACAATTACTAAATTGATAAAGACAAACGGACCTTCTACGATGGATGGCCTACTGTTGTAGGTGATAATTTATGAAGGTAAAAGAGAAATTGAATGTATATCTGTATGTAATGATTAATTTTCGATAACGAAGAACGATTCTGGGCGGAGTTCAATTATACAATAAATATATTTTGGAAGGTCATAAATATTTACGATTTGAAAATAATACATTTTCTAATTTTTTTCCGTTTTTCCGACGTGTTTTCCCATTTATTATGAAAATCCCTGAGAATATCATAAAATTACCCGTCTATAGTATGAATCCACACAAATCAGAAAAGGTGCTGTACTTGAAAATCGGAGAAAAATTGCTGGTAGAAAAATTGTTCACAGAGAAAAAAATAAACATAATTGTAAAACCAATACATTTTTTGCTCCGCTTAGAATCTAAAAACGTTAAACATAAGGTAATTTATCCCATACAGTGTAGTGTTACCGTAGCATAATATTATACGTATTGTAAATAACTAATTGAAAAATTAGAATTTTATTTTAATTTAGATTAAACTAAATTATTAAACATATTATCAAGATTATTTAGAAGTTTAAAGTACAAATTATTGTTACATTTCAAAATAATTTTTTTAACGCAATCATTTATAAATTATGTGTTTTAGCTCTTTTTATATATGTACTAGCTGTCCCGCGCCCGTCGTTGCCCGTGCAAATTCGTATTATTATTATTTTATCCGTTTTCCTTTTTTGGTTTTGGCCGTGTTAGGTGGAAAGTGAGTGGTCCACCTTTGGCGGACTAAATGTGTTCCATTGTAAAATTTGAATAGTGTAAATAATAGTAATCATAATATTTGCAATAGTTTTCTTTTCCGTGGCAACCCTTGAATAAACAAAAATCGTATGTACGTAAAACAAAATCGGGTTAGTTACAACATTTATAACTCAAGAGCGGCTGGACCGATTTTGATGATCACATGATATTTTCCGACTAATTTCTAATAATGATTAATCACCAATTTTTTTTTTCATTCCTGTTACCAGGGTAACACAAATAAAAAAAAAAATTGTATTCATTATATTATATGCTAAATTATTTAATGTTGCTCATGTATATATTTATATATAAGGGAAAAAATTAAAATCGCGGTTAAAAAATAGTGGGTGGAGGTAGGAGGGTGAAAAATACTTTACGACCTATTCTAATACCTACCAAATATATAAATACAATTTCATTAAATTCAGTCATGCTATTTTTGAGTAGTGAGACCACAAACACTTGACACTCTCATAACTGCTTCTCACCAAGACCCAATAGTAGCCAGCTAAATGCTTCAGTATCACTTAAATATAATAAATAATTACCTTCGGAGTTTCCGTTGAATATTAAAATTTAATGAAGCCAAACTAAATGGCTTGTCTACATAATTAAATTTTCTTTTGCGCAACTTTGTCTGTCACCAGCCACGTTGAACAACTAAATCTTTTCCACAACCAACAAAGTTGGTTTAAAATTAAAATTAAAATTTATTAAAATGTATTAAAATTTGATCGCACACCAAAGAAAACACTCACTTCCAGCTTGCACTTAAAATTTAAACGGAAGTCAATTAATTACCGACTTTAACTACTGTTAGACCACTCCTTTAACTTAAACATTCTCTCTTAAACAAACTCATACTATACAAATCCGTAATTCGTCCAGTATGGTCTTACGGCATACTTTGGGGTTCAGCAAAATCTTCAACATATAATTTCTCCAGGTATTCCGGTCAATCTATTTGCGGTTAATAATTTCTGCCTCCTAGTATTTTACCTTCACAGAGACTAAACAATTTCCACACCAAACCAATTAGTCAAATTTCATCACTCAAATTTACACGTCTGTGGAATTAATCATTGCGTACGGTTGTACATTAATTTCCCTATATATCCTACCTTCCCAACATTGTGAGTAGTATGTTCGTATCTTTTTTATTGTAATGTTCTTAATAATAAACGAAACCGGATTAACATAAAAAAAAAAACCAGGGATATTTGAAAAGCAATTCGTTTTTACTTTATTACAAAATCTATTTAATTCGATTTATTTGTACAATTGTGATATAATAGTTGTAAGTAAGCAATACCTACCGATATAGTGTATGTTTAGCATTAGACTAATCCTATTTCACGAAATAAACTATTATATAATGACTTGTATTTTATCGGAAATTCATACAAATTTTAAAAAAGAAACTTTAAAATGTACAATGATACAAAAATATCTTGAAAATTATATAGTTTCATTAACTTAAATTAAGAGTAATTAACTTAAAAGAGTAATAAGATAAATTTAGAGTTATTAACATGTTTTTCACGAACCAGCGTTTAACTACAAAGGCTAAGCTTGGCATACAATACGCCAACTTCCCCACTCAATACGAATTTAAAATATTGTTAGTAAAAAAATGGAAATGCTTCGCACGTGGGTGGATCACTATTTTAGATGAGAAGTAGGGAATGTGCAGGGGAAATTTAATGTATATTTGTATGCAGCGATTAACCATCGCTAACGAAAAACGATTCTGAAAGGAGTTAGGTTAAAAGTGTTGCTTTGTCAACAAAATAAAATATGTCACAGTATGGTAAAATAATTATATATCTCATTATATATCTTAGCAAAACGTTTCGGTATTGTATTTATTTAATATATTATTCTAAAGATATGTTACTGTGAATTTCCGCAGTTGGTGAATGCTGACAGTCATCGGTTAATGGCGACATATAACCCCTTAAATTGACTAATGTTGAAAAATGAAAAAAAAAATGTAAACATTTACTAGTGAATATTAACACACACTACATGGTTTTGGTTAATGTTGACATACGTATTTGCACCTAAAATGTAGATTATAGACTGTACTATTAGTATAAAATTTAACATCAAATAAGTACGTGTTTAATTTAAACAACAAATTATTATTATTATTATTATTAAGAAATATGTGACAATATTCTCACTTATCTAGAAAGTATAATAGTTTACCCCTCAACAACGGTTAAACAGTTTTCGGCACATAATATAATATAACTTCTTCTTTTATATATGTGTATAACTAAGTGAACAAGTCCTCATACATAAAGAATACAATACATTAGTTAACAATTGGTTATTGTCCTTTGTATTTTAAACAGCTTGGTGTACATATTTTTTCAGTTCTCTGTTTCTATTTCCCCGAAGGATGGTGTCGATTAGTTAATTTTTAGAAGCAGCATATTGTAGAGATTAATCGTTGCTAAAAAAAAATTAATTAAGTATTTTCGGATTTAATAAAAATAGTTGTACTTATATACCACTACGAGGATACCGATGAATAATCGGATACATAGGTATTCATTTCGTAATGTGCGCCAAATATTTTTACCAAAATTAGACGTGGATCGGTCATCTACGTATAAAACGAGGCGTTGAATCATTTTATGACTCGGTGTACTCAGTAGTCACGTGCAAGATATACAGATAAACGTTTATTGAAACGAATAAGGAATTAAATACAAGGGTTTATATTATGTATTTATTACATTGATTATTGTCAACGAGCGATCGAAACATTCGAAACCGTGTACTTTATGAGTACGGGCGAACGATAGAGGTAGGTTGTGACGTGTGTTGGAGCCAAATTCACTATGTCGGACAGCTACACTCGTACGTCATCGTGATTCGTGATCCGTCAATCGTCATGCGTATGTGTTAGTGTGTACGAGAACACGGCCAAGAGCGCCCGCAAGGAGGTGCCGCTGAGGGCGATCCCCCCCACGATATTTTAGTTAATATTAAATATTAATTGTTTTATTACTTACAAGTTGTAAGTTGAAAAAAAAATTCTTATACTTTTGACTTTGCCTTCCCCCCCCCCCCCCGGTTTATATTTCTGCGGACGACTTTGAACACGACCCCTAAAAGTAATATTGTAAGTGTATACTTTCATATGGAGGATATGCGTTTCACTTGGAGCATTAACAAATTTTGTAAACAAACATTTGGTATCCACGTTCGACCATCATATTGCGACTAGTCGTCCGATCTTATAATCAATAATATTATCGATCGTATAAAATATAACACAAAACAAAATAATATGCATAATAAAAGTTGAGTTTATTCTCGAATTTTCGTTTAAAATCACGCAATAAACATATATCGCTGAATTGTGTTAGTATAATTAAAAGGATTCAGGGTGTTTAATAGTACAAATATTAGCATTTTAAATACCATTAACAAATATTAGTGTACACTATTATCTTGCATTTATATTTATCATTTACAACAATAGTACTATTAATTTAGCTAACAAAAATATTAAAACATTATAATTTGTTGAAACGTGAAATATTTGGGTGCAGATACATTTCTAAAATAAGTAATTATTTCATTAATGATTTAATTATATATTTTCGACAATCCAAATGCACCAGACATCATCTAAAACAACAAAATAATGTATTAGTGTATGTATATAGTTTAATGATTTTATATTGTGCAAAGACGTCAATAGATAAAAATTAAGGAAAGGGGGCAATTTCTATTAGGAATCAAAAATTACTACTCATGTTAGATTCTGAGTATTTAGGAATATATTGATTTTACTATAATATGTGTGTTTATGTTTTATTTTTTTGGTGTAAATAATATTTCTACCAGTAATTGTGCTATAACTAAAAACTTTATTGAAATTTTTGTCGCATTTTGGATTAAAATTAGTGTTAATGCACCAATTTTCAATTCTCCTTAATAATATGAAAACAAAATCTAGAGTGTTTACGTAATACATTTTTTTTTGTAATTAAGATTTTATACAAATCAGAAATACTTAATTCGATACTGTCGTAAACTTTATTTTATTTTCTACGTTTTCCCTCGGTATTTCCAAATTATTAAGAAAACTTCACAGAAAATTTAAAATTAAATTTTATTAATACTAACTAGACAAAATTGTCTTCCCGAAAAATTACTACACTTTGATTTTAGTACAAGATTTCTGAGAGATAACAAAAATCTAAAAATCGCAGAGATCCGACATTTTCATCGAGTATTTATATTAGTCTGTTGCGTTTGGCATGGAAGAAATCTCGTGTTGGTCCGCGGCACGTGATTCTCGCCTAACTAGTATATTCCGTCATTCCTACCTCCGTTTTACGCTGTGTCCAGACACACGAATGACCAACCATGTACGTTTAAAGCTACTCTTGCATGGCTTTTATTGATTTAAATAGTATGATGGGGATGTCGTATCCGAGTACCCATTGTTAACAACCCAGTCGCATTTACACGGTGAAAAATGAAAAAAAAAAAACAAATATATAAAAGGGGACCAAATAATTTTTATAAGTGCCTCAATAAATTGGCTTAAATCGTGAAGCTAGAATAATTATTAGATAGGACGTAGTATACATGATTATTTGGAAAATAATAATGAAAAAAAGATGGACATACTTTGCAAATGAGTAAGCTACTATTTTAAATGAGTAGTTGGGAAGCTAGAGGGGAAATTTAATGTGTATCTGTACGCAACGATTAACCATTTCTAACGAAAAACTGAGCGGAGTTCGATTGATGGTGTTGCTTTGTCTACATATTATGGTAAAATAATTATGTATACATTATAATCACTTGTACTTGGATACATTACATACAAATCATACATCACAATGTACCTACATAATATTTACTAAAACGATTTTCGTCAAACTTTGTTATTAATATTCTAATTAAAAAAAAAAATCTATATTATACTAATTTTTTTTTATCACAATAAAGTACGACTTATAATGAACCTTCTGTTAAATTTCCTAGCATTTCTGTTTGGTCTAACAATTCTATTTTATCCACAGAGTATCTATCAAACAAAAATTACGTAAATGACACCGTAAAATTAAAATGTCTATTTGACCACGTCTAGGAATCGAGCAATAACTCAAGCCTTCTTAACCCTTTGCTCTTATACTTTTATCTGACGCAAGTGCAAAAGTCGTTTATAATATTATTCTTACACTTCCCATCCGCATTTATTCAAATCATTCGATTTTAAAATACTTTTTCGAAGGATTTTCAAAGTCAATATTTAAGCATTTTGGAATTAAATTTTTAACGTTTTTTGGTATATTTTCAAAATCATTTGTAAAAAACCATAATAAAAAATAGTTGTATTAGGACCGTTGAAAAATAAAAATAAAACAAATATCAAATAAATATCAATAATTGAGCTCAACTCAGAATCTAAGACTATTAACATATTCGTCATATTAAAAGAAAAATTAAAGCCACCCTACATGAATTATCGAGAGCATTAATTAAGATATTTTAAAAAAAATAAAAGAATAATTTTCAATACAACATTCAAAATCTGTATCTCACCAAAAAATAATGGTGGCATATCCTCTTATCCACATGTTTTTATAGTCACTCTAATAGTCATTATTAAAACTTACATTACTTTTTTTTTCTAGTCTCTGGTGTGTTCGCTTTCTCTTGAATGGTCATGATGATCATGACTTTCACTATGATATGATGATTCATATTGACAGCTACGTTCATGACATTCTTTGACATCATCTTCATATTCATGAAAATGAAGATGGTTTGATTCACCGACTTGACCTGAAGCATAGGTAAACCATATTAGTATTTATAATATATTTGATTAACTACATAGATAAGTCACTAAGTTAATCGTTTATATTTAACGTAATAAGTGTGAACCATCATATAAATAATAAGTTAACAGATTTTATGATAGAGTTATATAGACTATATGAGATATTAAGTTTCGCAGTCACATACCAAGAGGGCAATTATGTCATGATATTGAGATCTAAATCCGAGAGATCTGGTGGCAATTTATTGTACCAAAATAATGGGACCAGTTCTGTGACATTCCGATCGTATAAAATTAAACTGTTGCGTAGGTACAGCGCATGCACAGGCACAGCAAGGTTTTTAATCAAGGGGAGGGTAAACGTTTTTTTCAAAAATATTAAAAATATGTTGATTTTACTTGTATAAATACTGAAATAAATTATGGTTGTATGACCTTTTCTAAATTAATGTTTAACTATTCGTATAATTATATAATGCTTAAATTCGAATTTAATCGAGTAAAGGTTTACATCTCCACACGTTATCCCCACAGATTGTATGATAAAACAATGCGACAATCATAAACACAAATACCCTTTTTTTTATGTATAAATTATATATTATATATTATTACATGTGTAAACATTGTGTAGGGTGCCCCACCTAGATTCGCCCAAACAAATGTAAATTAAGTAATCATAGGAATAATAGTAGTATCATAAGAAAGCCAACAAGAGCGAATATTTTAATCGTTAAAACACATAGCATACGATGCGACCAAACATGTTGGTGCTCCCTTATGCGAAATAAAATCGGCGCTATTTACATTTACATTTATATCCCAATCGAAACTAAGGTAGGCTTGATCGGCCATTTAGTTCTTTTATATCAGATATATATGATGTGAACACATATTATGAGAATCATACACTTAAGGACAATTAAATTTTGAATAAAAAAACAATAAAAATACAAAATCGTCTTGCTTACAGTGAAATAGGTAATACATAATAAATGTTCCAGTCAATTCAGGCCATACATGGAACTCTAAACATACAAATAAAATTAAGTTTTGTTTTTCCACTGTGTGTGAATGATAGAGTAATTTCCTTAATATCAATTCTATTTAAATTGTCTAAAAATATTTATAATTTATAGTTAAATCAAATTCTTATTTTATTATTTTATGGAAATAACAACTTTATAAAATACGTCACATTTAAGAGAAGATGCGAATGAGAATGATACATTCCTTTTACTTTATTTTTACTTAAATTTATTTTATTTTTTATTTGTAAGATTTACTAATACTGAAACCAAATTTCAGATATTTTAAGAACTAACAAAACGAACAAGTGTTGTATTATATATTTTTTTTATCCATTTTTAAAATCTATAAATAAATTTAGAACAAGTAAAATATATGGGAGTAATAACATTTGGGTAGATAAATATGACAGATTATCAGATTCTTTGCCGTAAATCATATAAATCATATCTTATGACTCATAATATTAAATCATCAGAAATTGGACAGCATGAAGGCTCATAATTTACAGAACATTTAAAAAAGTCTAACGATTGACTATTATTAAAATTATTTTTTTTAGCCTTTGAATGTTAACTTACTGCTATATACTGTAATTATTTTTAAATATGTACAAAAAATTATATTAATAAACAATAATAATTATACAATGTATCTACGAAATGTACATTTAAATTTTTAAAAAAAAAATGGTAAAGGAATTATAATTTGTAGCCATAGCGGTCGGTAGTCGTGAGCGTCTTCGGGTCAATTTCATGGGGAGGGGGGTGGGGCGGCAAACAATTTGTATTGCTATTTTGCATTACCTTTAAAAAAGATGCTACACTTAATGCATTGGAGCAAGGTTTCTGGTAGAATTTCAGTATACAGTATAAAAAAAAAATACCACTATAAAATCATTATCCTACATTCCTCTCTTTGATTCAATTTTAAAAATGATTATTTGTATAATGTATTGTTTTAAAAAAATAATTCATCTTATCAAAAAATAATCAAGCTTAGCAGATAGTTCACTGAATTCAGTTAATGTTTTTTTTTTTTTTGTATATATAAGAGTTTTAAAGTCAAATTTTGATATAAACCATAAATATTATGACATTCCAAAACATGTATAGGTAACTGAACTACGCTCCGAATCGTTTTTCGTTAGGAATAGTTAATCGTTGCTTATAGATATAAATTTAATAATTTTATGTATTCTAATGTTCCGATTTCCCAACGACAAAAGTGGCACACCTATCTCCAGTATCAGCTCTTTTAAAATTAATATTCTTATAAAATTTTAAATGATGGGGCACTGATGATGACACAAAGTGCACTAATAAAGCATAAAAGAGTGTGACACATTTAGGTTCAAAATTTGAATCGGGGTCCAAGCATGCCTCCATTTTTAGCACGTAATGCTAAAAATGTATTAAAGGATGCAACACTAACGACAGGACGAAATGCATAAACGAATGCTCTAGGTAGGATTCCCGAAATAAAAATGGAGAGAAGATGCCAGGAACACGGAATTAAAAAAAAGAACATTATTTTAACGGTTCTGAATTTTCACTTACATTTAAATCCATGATATTTAGGTATCAAATGTTGAGGCAATGGTCTTCTCCCTAAAAATAAATTGATTTATAATTTTTAACGTTAAGTTCAGTTATTATATTTTGTTGTATAAATCAAAAAGTTTTTGTATTTCTGTAATGTTTTTTTCTTATTTATATTGTTTTTTGTTTTTATAATTATCAAAGGATTACGTCCTGATTTGGCAACAGGGACACGAGTATGGATGGTTTTCTAAAATAATACTTTATCTATTCTAAACTAATTTTAAGTTTAATAAGTATGATCTTCAACCAATGATATGGAAGAGACACAGAATTCACTCAACTCACAAAAAAAATAAGGTAATTAATCTGATTACGGCTGATAAACATTGAAAATTGTGAAGTTTATAGTTAAAGTATAAAAAATAAAGAAGTTTAGTATGACGGAAGAATATGTGAAATAAGTAGGAATTTTAAATTAAGGAAATATAGGAGACCTAGTCAGTCAATTCTACCAGTCAAAAGATTGCATGTGAAATTTTCCATCTTGTCTTATGGGTATGTTGAGTAATAATACAAGTAATGTAAAATTAAATTACGTCTTCTTAGAGCTCTTATTGCGTAGCTAAAATACATTTCACCAAACATCGGATCAGCTGAAAATAAAATAATTAATTATATCATTATCAACTCTTTTCAACGATTGACGCAATTATGACTAGTTGTTTTTTGGAACCCAAAATATAAAATATTTTATTGAAAATATTTAGACTTCAACTTATATTATAGTAAATAATGTGTGACAAACGTGGACTTAAAATTGAAGACGTGGATGCAACAACCAGTCATCTCCAAGTTACTAAATTACCAAATTATCAAATTTACTTTCTCTGGAGAAGTCTTGTATTTGCAACAAAAAGTAAAACAAACATCTCCATTTGTATATATTTTCCGTATCTAACGATCGGATTTGTCTGATTGTTTCACCAATCGACGGGATTTTTTTTTTAGGAATATACAAAAAAGTAATTTTCGAAAAATAAAAAAAATGGAGCTGTCTGGTTGTTGTACTCACGTCTTCAATTGATTGGTTCAATTCATTCAATCGATCAATATAATATGTTACGTTGTTATAATGGTATTGTCATATATTTGGAGTGTTCCTTTATTTTCAATTTGATTGGTGTTTTTAAAAAGTAATGAAAATACAGTTTCTGAAATTTAACGTCAATATAATGCGTACGATAGAATATGAACATGGTAAATAAAGAAATACGCGATCTACACTGAGCAATTAATATGAAATATAGTTATGCATTAAAATATATAGTCTGGATCATATTTCCGAATCAAAGTTCAAATGAATTACTTTTTTTTAAATCTGTCAACCAACTCGAGTATTTGCTCTCTGAAAAAAAACCGTCAAATCCATTATTATACATTATTATTATTATAACCGTTTTCCAAAGACAAAAATGTATTTATTTTTTTAAATTTCGGTATATTGAGCGAAAGTTAACTGTTAGTCACTCAGGTTTGGAAGGTTGGATAGGTACATAAAGTTATTTAATTTATATCTGTACGCAATGATGTATCATTGTCAATGAATAATGAAAAAGAGGTTCGGATTGAAATTCAGTTATATTTTGAAATGCCGTGATTTTTATTTTATATGATTTTCATACACAACACATTTAAACTTGAATGGTTTATTAAAAATAAATGATTACATTACGCTCAACTGTTTAGATACCAAGCATAGCGTGGGATTCTTAGGTTTTAATACGATATGTGATTATGTTTAGATTCAGAGTGTACCGAGAGATTTATTAGTTTTACTATAATGAGTGTTTTTTATTTTTTTTTTCTGTATCTTTTACAACTTTTATATCAGAAATTTTGTTCCAATCGAAAAATGACAAGAGATCTTGTTTGTTGAATTTTGGATTTATTTGGTGCATTAAACAGGTAATTTCTTTTGATTTTCTAAGGGGTTTTTCATAAAGACCGAGAAAAAACGTAATAAAATTTACAAAATGTGTTATTTTCAAATCGTAAATATTACGACCTTTCAAAACAAGTATAACCAAACTCCGCTCAGAATCGTTTTTCATTAGCAATATGATTTACAAAATAGCATAAAAATCTTATATGAAACGTACTCGTCTGTATATTAACTGTATCCAAAAAAATTGTTCATTTAGTGTATATTTTATACATATTTATANGTTATTTTCAAATCGTAAATATTACGACCTTTCAAAACAAGTATAACCAAACTCCGCTCAGAATCGTTTTTCATTAGCAATATGATTTTCAAAATAGCATAAAAATTAGCATAAAAATCTTATATGAAACATACTCGTCTGTATATTAACTGTATCCAAAAAAATTGTTCATTTAGTGTATATTTTATACATATTTATAATATTTAACATTCAAATAACTCTGTGAATAAATATTGCCAAAGAAGTACTTGAATAGCATTGAATAGAAATTATCAAGTTGAAAACTTACTTTGTGCTTGTAAATTTAAATCTGAAAGTCGTTATCTTGTTAAAATATGAAACAAAATATAAACTTATACTATTATAAATAAATATTTTATCATACTACTGACAAAATTCTATATTATTATTGTTTATTTGTATATTAATCTATATTCTTATCGACCGACAGTATATGATAATATAGATAAGTTTAATATTGTTGAAGTACCTACAATCTAATTATTTTATAGATTATGTAATTTGGTTAAAAAAAAAAATGTAAATGTCAATTTTAAACGTTTAGGTCATTCCTAAAAATCACCGTTAACCAAAGTTGAACAAATAAAGGAAATGGTGAATTTTAAAGCCTATATAATAGTATGTATTAAAACTGAAATTAAAATCTCTTGTTAAAAATCACGAAATCGTTGTTTATAGTACCAATAACTAGATTAGTGGTCTCTAACCTTTACGAATTAAGACCCCCTAATTTAATTTTTTATGTAAGACGACCCTTACAAAAATTGTTAAATATAAATTTAATAATACAATTTGAAGTATACATAATACGTATGGTTTTCACGATATCCGAGCTATCACTCGCGAACAACGTGAACCCTCGGGATATCGAAATCCACTGAACTAGCACTGATAAGTTAGATGAAGGTTAGATTACCATTCAAATTTTAAACTACTTTATTTATACGATTTATGCTTATGTTCGTCGTAAATAGTTTAACGTTACAAATTACGTAATAAGTATTTGTTCACCATAAACGAGATTAAATAAAATAAAATTACAGTTAAGATGTTTACTGGTTACTTTAGACCTTTAAGATTACATACTTCGTTGCAATTCTCAAGTGCAATTGAAGCTAACGTAAAGTGCACATTGTATAGCACACAACTACAACATGGTCCTAAATATAGGTATTATAACATTATCACTGCAACCAACTGTCCAACACATGTATTACATATTGTAATAAATTGAATATTCAGAATTTGCAATGAACGATGGAATGTTATATAATACAACTATCAACTTCCAAATTAATGGCATCTGTTAATTCTACGCATTACCACCCAGATGCGCCACAGTTTAATCGAGGTGGAAGTAACTAAATTGGAGAGATCGCGGAATCAATAGGTATACGGGACCACGCGCGTCACTTTTCCTCACTTTTTCATTTCTCTGAGTTCGCCCAGAAGAAGAACTCTTTTTTACTCATTTTCTTCTAACACAATTAAACTCCCCCAAGCCTTATCATTAGTTTCTGAACTAAAGGTCTGTGCCAAAATGGTACAACATCGAGATTGATAAAATTCGAGAATTAGATATTGAATTGTTAATTGTTATCAATAAATTGACAAAACGTATTGCCGTTTTGTTTTACACTAGTCAATTTTCTGCATTACTCTGTAATCTATGGTGTTTTTAAAAATTGTTTACAATATAAGTACAAATATAAATATTGAATCTTCCTTGTTTGGTCTTGACCAGTTTTGCATCATTATAATATAATACCTACATGAATATTATTAAATATCATTTAGCTTCTGCACGATATGCGAAAGAGATTTGCGCACGCCTATGGGTTCGTAATTACCGTATTACTATAGCACTTATATTATATTGAATTAATAACAATAATACCAATTCACTTGTCTCTCGGCATAAATTTTTTTCTTTTTATTTCTATTGCAATACACTACACTAATATGATTATGTTTGTAGAGGTATTTTATACTAGGGAATATTTATAATGTATTCTGAAGAAAACAAGATAATTTTTAATAGTGATTTGGGTATTTAAAAAAAGATATAAATTATTAACAACAATACTTACGGGTTTCATAGTCTAGCTCTTCGTAACCTATATTATAAATAATAATAAAAAAAAAAACAAAACAAAACGTAAATTTTTTATTTAAAACGTATATTTACATTTAACTCACTAGGCCTTGAATAAAATATGTTTTCAATAAACTTTGTAGATTTAAATTATAATAATATTGACTTCATTAGGTTATCTTAAAAAGATAGAAAGATAGAAAGAATTTGGTAGTGCTGGACAACAACTTTTGAATGATAGGTTCTATGTGAACATCCCTTAATGTTCTGGTGAATATTATATTACTGTGAGGTTGGTGTCTGTATCTCTATGGAAAATCTACCATTACATTTTTTGTTTCCTTCATATAGTTCACAGTCAGATTGAGTACAATGGTTGGGTTCCCTAATATGTAATTTCTGAACTACGTGCAATCAAATACAATAGCCAGAGATTCCAGTTAAGTGTTGAAGTATCTTGTTTCGGTGGATGACAGTGTTCTAATTGTAAATCTGGGCATTCGGAATTTACCGTTCCGATCTATCTGGAAATGTTCTGCACCAACTGCGCGTGACGTAGAATCAGTGCATATGAAAAATGGTTGTTTGAAGTTTAGTTAGTGGTGGATAAGTAGTCGTAGAAATGCTTTTTAATGTTCTGGAATGTTGTTTCTTCCTCGAGTCTCCAGGTCCATGGGATGTCTTTGTGCATCAAAGTATTTAATCGTTGTTTCAATTCCGAGTGTCCCTTGATATATTTACGGTAGACTTTGATCATACTAAGATAACTGTGTACTTCTTTTCGGTTAGAATATATTTAAGATGTAATGTATTTATTTTTTTTTGGTCTTTATTCCTATGCTTACCGGTATAAAGTATTTTATTATACTTATAATTACCTATTTATTATCTAATTACTTATAAGTAATATACCTATAATTATACTTATTACGTAATATAAGTAACAATTTTGTGAAATGTTACAAAATTTGTCTATAGTAAATTGAAATTAAAGCAATTAAAACTATAACATTTAGTAAGTAGTAAAATTTGAAATTTTTACACAAAATCATACATGATATCAACATATTGAATTTCATGTAATACGTTATAGATATAACACTGCAGTATAAATTGTTCAAATATTACTTACCATCGCAATGTGGACAATGTTCCTTTTCTATGTATCAAAATCAAAAATAATAAACATTCATGATATATTGTGAATTTTAATACATTTTTATTATTTAATTTAAAAATATTCTCCCCAGAATTGTAAACGAATGACTATTAAATTCATTTTTACTTAAAAATTATTGAAATAAAAGAAAACGAGAAAAAATATAATAATTCAATAGGACAATATACTATGCGTCAAGTTTAGTATAGGTGTTAATAAAAAAAAAATCATGAATTTTCCAATCAAAGTTAGAAAAAAAAAACATAATTACCATAGTATATAGATTTACGACTAAAATTAGGTACATAAACATAACACGAACATTTACGTAATCTAAATTTAAAGACATTACTAGGGGGGGGGCGCGGTTGCTCAATACCCAAAACAATTTAAATTGAATTTTCTGAGATGGTCTACAGTCATATGATAAATTATCCGCGGCTGTAGGTACCCATTTTATACTTAAGATTTAAAAGTCAGGAGACAGAATTTTCTTTCAATTTTAATAATTATTAAACTAGGCTACGACTAGTAGTCTTGTAGTCTTCTAGTGAACGAAAAAACGAAGTAGTGCCGTAATTTTTGTCGTATCTAATACCAAAGTAGTAACGTTATCTTCAATTTTATCAAAAATTATCATTGACAGATGACATGTTAAGCCAACATGGTAAGAACGAATTCAAAAACCAACCTTTAATATAATACATTTTTAGTAAAACTTTGGTATAATAAAATTAGTACCCTCACTTTAAACTAATGAATTTAAGAGAAGTATACAAATAAAAATACAATTAAAAGTATAAAAATAAACAAAAATTGTTGGGATGTAAATCAGTTCATCTTCTAGTAGTGTACAATGGGTAATTCTAAATGAACTGGTACGCATTCGGGCTACGTTTCAAAAATGACCTTCATTTTATTGGGACGCACTCGATTGTACCTTTTTCCGAACGTACTCGGGACATTGAAAAAGGGTAATTTGGGATGCACTCGGGTAACCCCGCAATAATTTACTTACCTATAACTATAAATATTATTTGAAAGCGTTTAAAATAATATAACATGGTATAAACAATTACAATATTACTGTGTTACATTCGTTTGGTGGTTTAGCTTTACAATATTAAATTTTATATAGTTTTATACATTATTTTATAATAAAAAATATATTAAATACATACTGAAAAAGTGTTTGAATCCACGCATAAATCTTTTCATTGAACCTATACATTTTAAAACAAAGGCCAACGATGAGTCTTATTGTATTGTAAATGTTATATTTTGAAGAGTTTTAAAAGATATTTTTATTTTAAAGAGTATCCTGTGATGACACCAACTTTTTTCAAATGAGGATTTATAGTAAAAATCCATAAATAGATGAGTAGTATTAGTATAAATACATTTTAATATTAAAATTGTTGATTTACATCAACCCATTGACGAGATATTCCACTTTTAAGTTTAAGTAGTGGGAGAGTAGTGAAGCACTAATAAAACGCCACGCACCGGGCGTCACACAAATGATATTCATTATAATAAAAATCGGTTTTAAATACACTTAAAAATTCCAAAAATCAGAATTTGAACATACATAAACTTAATCGAAAAAGGGGTGAGCACACTTAGTGGATTATTTTGTATAATATACTTGATATTTTAGCAAATTCTGAAAGTAACTAGGAATCTATTAGTTTTACTAAAATGTGTGTTTTTTAAAAATATTTTTTCTATCTGTAACTTTTCGAAAAGAAAACTTGCACCGATGTATCAAGTGCAGCACCTTTTAAAGAATGAAGTTTTATCTAGGTTGTGTACTAAAGAGGAAATTTTTTGATTTTTCAAAGAATTTTCAAAATAATTGGGAAAAACCGAAAAAAAAAATGAAATGTCATGTAGTATTTTTTTTTTTTTTTTTTTTTTATAAGCGTTTTAAAATAAAATGTTGACAAAAATCGCAAATATTACGGTCTTTTAAAACGTGTACAACTGAACTTCGCTTTGAATCATTTTTTATTAGCAATGATTTATCGTTAGTTACAGATACAGATTAAATAACTTTATGTTTCCCACCTTCCAAATTACCCTCCTACAACAGTGGCCATACCCATCTCCAGTATCAGTTCTTTTTTAAATTTTTTTTTATTAGAAATTAAGTTCGTTTGGTTAAGTACTTAAAAAATACTTGCCATCTTCACTTCTTCTACATTCTCCATGTGAATCTTCATGATGATGTCTTGCCTCATGATCTACACCAAAATAATATAATAATAAAATTCCTTACAAAAGAGATGAAAATATATAAAAATACATCATGTTTATAATATAATACAAGGCTTAGAATTGGTAACAAAAATATTGGTAATTAAAAATCGAACAATATTTGACTACCTACTGGTTAATTTTTAATACAAAGTTTTGAAATGATGGTCACCAGTAAGTAGTACTTTATTATACAGAGTGATTTTTTTCATCATAAACCAGCAATTTGCTCATAGAACTTTTAAATTAAATTTGATAACTGTTTTGTTTTTTTTTTTTTTGTTTTTTTTAATGACTGGACTCTTTTAAGCTTTATTTTAAAAGAATTTTTAATTTTTTACTCTTACTTAATATACCTTTAATAAGTATGTAGGTACTTTTGTTTTTCAAATAGGAAACCCCCTTTTTGGACATAGATTCGAATGCATAATATTTTTCTAGAAATTTTGATTTGAATAGTTGTGAAACATGTTAATTAATGGTGAGTTGTTGATTATATACAATTATTTGAAGTTTTTAAACAATATAATTTATTCCCATTATCATTTTACTGAATAATAATTAATGAATAGTAATAACTTTCTAACAAATATAATCGTATTGCTATGAGTATATTTTCATGGAAAATTGGTAAATAAATTAATATTATTTGGTAATGGCATTTAAAACTCGGCATTAATGAACATGTTTGTTTTAAATATATCTTTAATTTAGTTATATTGGATTTTATAAAACACATTATACAAATAATAAATTTATTTAGTTTTTAAAAGTATACTTGCCCAATTCAATTTGTTGTTCTAAATTTTTCAAACATTTAAACAATAAAGTATATTATACATTTTTTTTGTGCATACCATTGATTTTATAATGTACAGCTAGTCGTGCTGGGGAAGAAACCGGTAACAGCCGCCGCTACAGAGCGCTGTCGGATACCTCTAGCAATCGAGGTAGCGAGGTTTTAGCCCGATCATCATAGGTAGGAAAAAGGGGAAGAGATTATTGGCGACCGCGGCTGAGCAGTATGGCAACAGAAGTAATAATAAATTATTCGTTAGTAGAAAATAATCGTGAAAATCTGATATACCTAATTAGGGAATATTAATATTAATATTTTTTAAACATGGTATAATTGAAAAAAGAAAAGAAAAATTTAACATAATACAAAAACAACAATAAAATAATCTTAGTTTATAAATGCCACTCAAAACACGGTTTTGAAATCCCAAGTCCTGTATCACGACTTAATTGTATATTTTAAAGTAATGACGGATACAATACATATATACTACACAACTGCACAATAAATCTCACGCAAGAGTTTACACTAATTTACACGAGTTAAATAAACTATGATAATCATAATAAAAAATACGAGGTACCTTGTGGTATCTATTTAAAGTATTTTAACATAAGTGCTTACCAAAATCAAAGACGAAATTTCCTGCGAAAGTCAACCGCGTCAAAATTAAACGTGGAACAGGTAAGTTTTCCGAGTACATATTATAATAAAACTGTTTGTCTATTGGTTTTCAGTTCATTTTTTAAATGTAGTTATACGACACATTTTTTATATTTAAAAAACACAAATTCATAATAATATTACAAAACAAATAATACTTGCCAGGAATATGTGTACATCCATTTAAATCTATATACATATATATCAAACATACAGAAATAACATGATAAATGCACAAACTATACTATCATTTACTGTTTTGTTTAACTAACTTTTGGTAATACTTGTATATTTTGAAGAATCAAATAATTTGGATTTCTAAAAAAGTACTTGCCGTGTCTATAATCTTTTCCAAGAATCGCAGCTACAGTGAAACAAAAGTTAAACAAAGTAATTAAAAATTACAAAAATTCAATTATTTATTGTTTTATTATTATTTCTTTATTACAAAGAACTATAAAACCATTATAGATTTGTAATGTTCGGTTTGTCGCATTTTTATGTTCAATTTGTTTAAAATTACTCACGCATATTATTTCCGTCTATAATTGTTTAAAATAAACGTAAAAATTATGAAAATAAATTATTATTGATACGTAGGTATTAAAAATTTATATAATTATAACATATGTAATAGATTGAAATACAAGTATTATTGACAGCGCAGGTAGTTAATCACGATTTAAATTAATGTTACTAATATTATTTTTGATTTTGAGTGGAACGAAGAGGCTTATAGTTTTACAAAGATATTTATGCGTTACGTTATAATAATTCTGTTGCGCAGTGCTACAACGACGATGCTGGTTATAAAATTATAACAGTGGCTTAAAACGTTTTTACTTTGTGTGGTTCAAGTAAAAAATGTTCTATACAACCCAACCCACTCAAAAAATATAAACCCCAGGAAAGATTTGTTATTATAATTTTATCCTATTAATATTGTTTATTAAAAAATAAAAAAAAAAAAAACAGAGTTGTAGAGTGTGTCATTGTTGTAGACAGGAAGTAAAAAAGGTAAGATACAAAAAAATTGTTCTATTTATATCTGTTTTAAATGATAAATCATTGTTAACGAAATATGATTCTGAGCAGGTTCGGTTAAACAATAAACATTTTTTGAACTGATGCTTAAGATGATGCAGTGATGTTCAAGATTTTCGTATATATATGTATATAATAACGGCCATATATTTAAAAAAAAAATGTCTATCTGTTAGGAAGGTTAAGATCGTTAATATGTTTTATTGCCTGTCATAAAGCATATTGCTGATGTTGTGTCCTGATATTAAGATTTATTTATTTATATTACCAAGTAATCGTAAGTAAAAGCTTTTAATACGGAAAGTACGAATTATAATTTTGTGTTTATAAATGCTCAACATCAAACCGTTCGAATATGTATATTGGGAACATGCCACTCCGCTAGTTTTCACCTCACAAAAGAATACGTTACTATACGTAACAATCATTGCTTAGTTTCCTTCACAATTGGAATTTGTTATAATAACTACCATTGCTAGGGTTGCATTTTTATTCGTTACACAATATTTTTTTTGCCCTCCCAGACATGAGACATATTAGTATCAAAACCTAGTGAAAAATAAACACAACCGTTTTTATTCAAAAAAAAAAAAAAGACTATTTTATATACGCGACTAGTTTTAAGCATAGTATTCATAATTAATTATAATATAAAACGCATAGGTTGTAAGAACACAGCCAAAAAGAAATAATATTCTGTGATAACAGAATGGACATATAATACCAATATAAGTCAACAACAGTCAAGAGAAAGTGACTGTTCAATTTCAAAACGTTTAAAAAACATCAGTTGTGATGGTTTCACAAAGATTTTTATTTATTATTTTTATCTGTTAACAACTTTTCTACCAAAAGACTTGCTCGAATTTCTAAGTGTAGCATCTTTTCTGAAAGGAAATTGGTGTAAGGAGGTACTTTAAATATGCCATTTTTCAATTTTCTCAAGAGTTTTCTCAACAATTTTGAAAAATCGAAAAAAAACCATAAAATGTACGAAATATATTACTAAAATATTACTATTATAGCAATTTCGCTCCAACTTTAATGATAGCAATGTTTCTCGAACGAAATTTCACTACCAAGATACATTAAAGAGGTTATTTTTTGATTTTCTCAAGGTGTTTTTCCAGCAAATGTGAAAAACCGGGAAAAACGTAGGAAAACTGGGAAAATTGGTACAACATTAAACAAATATTATTAAAGAAAATATATAAAGCCTACTTAATTATTTTACTATTAAATGACATATATATTGTTTACAAAGCATCACTATCAACTAAACTTCGCTCAGAATCATTTTTTCGTAAGCAATGGCTTATCGTTGCTTACAGGTATACATTAAATTATCTATAATAATGGCTGCACCCGTTCCCATTATTCTAGGACGTCTTTTTCTGTGTTCATTGTATTTTATTTTGCTTTAAAAATATATTGCTAAAAATATTTTAATGTCGTACTAAGACGTTTGTGTCAATAAACCATTTTTTCAAGATAATAGGACAATGTTGCAATTATATCTCACCCGTTATCCCGTTACTCGTTATCGTGATCAGTTTAGTTTTAGTGCATTATGTCCAGGTTAAAGAAACCTCACGCTCGAAACAAACAGTAGTCGTTATCGTGACCAGTTTTTTCGAGTATAAAGCAACTTTAGAGTTACATTGTATAAACCCCGAGAGTTAAATTTAATCCAACACATATAACATAATTTTGAATATGTAAAAGTAAATACTTACAAAAGGTATTCACTAGACATTTTCAAAAATTACACGATTAAATAAATAGTTATTATATATTATGAATATCAAAATTTAGTTTATCAAAGTATCTATAATTTAAGTGTACTATAATCACTGTCTAGACTCTAGAGATTATACTAAACAATTGTAGTATAATAATTCCATACGATCTATTGTTACACATATATCATTACGCAGAGACTTGACCAATAAGAGAAACATAGTAAAACAAACTTTTCGTGTGAGCTGAAAATGATAATGAGAAAAATGAACGGAAAATAGGAAAGAACGTGGTACTAGGCTCACTGAAATCAATGATCGATTTTCGGTCACCTATCTTTCGAAAAAATGATCTTAAGCAAATGATTCCGTTAATCAATCTGATGTTATAATTTGATTTCGAAAGTTACGAAAACTTATGATAACTTTATGTTATTTTAGAACACATTAATTGAGTTTCAGAGACCCAAGGTCACCCATTTATTTTTAAAGGAAATATAAAGAGTATCTAATGTCTGCTAAAACCGAATATTTTAGAAATCATTAAAAGTAAGACATTACAATAAGCGCCTTGCCCTTGGGAAATTCTAAACCCATTACCTCGTAAAGTATGTATTGGAAAGGAGCACTGTAGTCAACAAAGACGCGGAAGAAGTAAGAAGTTTGAAAAGCACAAATATCAAATAGAGATGATTAGAAGACTAAATGCATGACAGAGTGGTCCCAGGGTCATTTTTGTTCTCTGAACAAGAAGGGAAAGAAAAGGTAATGAAACTAGTTAATTTATTTACAAATATGTGTATAATGTTATCACAGATTGAAGTTTTAAAATTGATGAGATGTAATAATCAATAAACTAGATATAACATAAACAATATTATTATGTTAAAGTATGAAAGATAATGTAAAACTTACTGAATAACTTCTCTGTACGTGTACGAAAATTTAAAACACAAAAATATTTTATTATTATAATATATAGTTAATAAAACTGCACTGTACAACTTTTCAGAGGATATTCTAAGGAATATCCACGAAGTGATTTTGCGAAATAAAATTGAGAGCTTCCTAATATTTTATAATACTTTCACCTTATAGTTATATAGTACTAATATACCAACTAGTTACTCATAATACGATTTTCAAAATGTATACACTGTATAGCGTGTATATTAAATATTCAAAAGGTACACTCGATATTTTGGAAAGTATTGATTTTTTGCCTAAACAATTTTTTTTTGACATTTTAGAAGCGAACTGCTTTAAAATGTTATATTAACATCATTTTTTCTCATTTTTTTTCTTTGAAAATGAAAAGATAACTTCTATTTATGATTTTCAAGTAGGCGTATATCGATTCCGTTGAAATTACCTTTTTACCTGTAAAAAATGTATAAACTCAACCGAATTTTTTACATGTTGATTCTTTTAGATTCAGAGCATAGCGAGGGATCAATTGGTTTTACTATTGTAAACAACTTTTCTACCAGAAATCATGTGTACCCTTAAAGAATCACCCTGTATTCTATGTTAAAATATCCACTGTTATATTTAAATATTTTTTATTGTGACTTCAACTACAATATTTCTATTATATTTTGCTAGTAAATATTTCATAAGCTGTACAACATTGCAAATTCAATTGTTTACTTCATTTTAAATTTTTAATCAAACGAAAAGAAAATAGAGACTTGTTACAGATTATGAAACCGTGAAATAAGAGCCTTATAAATAATTAAATTTTTTTTGTTGAATTACATACGTATTCGTCCTTGCGAGGCTATTTAAAAACATAAACGGTACGCATTTACTATAAAATGTGTCCTGATAACTTGAGTCTTCCAAATATTTACTTACTAGTCTGAGTCACTGCAAAATTGTAAAGCAATAATCTTATTAGTTCTTCGTTTAAAAAAGTAAAAGGTTATATGTTAAGCAAGTTAAGGTGCTATGTACTTAAATATATGTATATAGTATACCTAATGTAATAATACCGTCTTAGAAATAATATTATATAGTTATTCGAACAAACGAATAATTATGAACAACTAGAATATACATTTTAGATTCTGAGTAGGCCGAAAAAGCTTATGGGTTTACAATAATGTTTATTATTTTTTTTTTCTCTGGATAACTATTATTGTATAATATATTTTATTTAGTTAGTATGATTTGCTTTATAAATATACTATTATATGGCCAAATTCTTCAAAATTACACAACTCACGATTAAGTTAAATCAGGGTTCAAAAGTTAA